CCTGTGTATTCCCCTACCCCGGTGGTCCCTCCCAGGGTCTGCCCCCCTGCTGCTCCGCCGGAACTGGGCTACTCCATCTCCTTAGTGTCTGCTGTGGAAATTCCCCCATGGTCACAATTGCTGTTGCGGGGCGCAGTCAACGCCCCTCCCGAGATGATTGGTCTGGTAGAAGCTGTTGTTGATTCTGATCTGGGGTATGCCCTGCCCCGTGCTGTGTGCGCTGTATCTCCTTCGGGTAGTGTCCCCTTGTGTGTAACCAATGTGTCTGATGTGCCGGTGTGGTTGGAGCGTGGTATGCATCTAGGGCAGTTCCTACCGGTGGAGGACCCTCGGCCGGATGTCTCAACAGACGAGGGTGTGGCAGTGGGCGTGCAGTCAGCGACGTCCGATTCAACACCAGCGGATCGCTTTGATCTCTCTCGGTTTGCTGGCACTGCGGAACAACGCCAAGCTCTGGTCAGTTTACTAAACGGTTTTAACGATGTCATAGCCATAGATGATTGTGATGTGGGAGAGACCCCCCTCTTGACTCATTGCATCGACACCGGCGCTACACGCCCAATTCGTCAGGGGCCGAGACGCCTCCCCCCTCCCAGGGTCAAGATTGTGGCCGAAGAGGTCGAGAAAATGTTAGACAAGGGTATAATATCCCCTAGCGTGTCCCCGTGGGCTAGTCCGATTGTATTGGTACAAAAACCAGATGGTTCAATTAGGTTCTGTGTCGACTACCGTAAATTAAATGATGCCACGCACAAGGATTCGTACCCCTTGCCTAGGATTGACGATACCCTGGATAGGCTGGGTGGGGCACAGTATTTTTCCACGTTAGACCTACAGTCGGGTTACTGGCAGGTGCCAGTGGAGGGGAAGGATCAGCAGAAAACGGCGTTCATCACTCCACAAGGGCTATTCGAATTCCGCCGCATGCCCTTTGGCCTCTGCAATGCTCCTGCCACGTTCCAGCGGATGATGCATGCCGTGCTGCGGGGCCTTTCCCCCCTCTACTGTCTAGTGTATCTCGATGATGTTATTGTGTTTTCTCGCACATTCGCGGAGCACTTGCGCCGTTTAGAGGCTGTGCTAACTGCATTACGACGAGCGAAGCTTAAGATAAAACCTAGAAAGTGCCATTTGCTGCTGGCCGAGGTCCATTTCTTAGGGCATGTAGTCTCGGCTAAGGGGATTTCCACGGACCCGGGAAAAGTTAAAGCGGTACAGGAATGGAAACAGCCAGCGTCTCTTAAGTCTCTACAATCATTTCTCGGATTTGCGTCATACTATCGACGGTTTATTCCGCATTTTTGCGTCGGTGGCCCATCCACTGCATGACCTGTTACGAAAAGAGACTCCATTTGTCTGGGCAGAGGCTCATCAGTTAGCGTTCAAAAAGTTGTGCACAGCGTTTAGTTCAGCACCCATTTTGGCCTTTCCAGACTTTTCGCGCCCATTTATTGTGGATACGGATGCCTGCGTTTCAGGCCTAGGTGCGGTACTGTCACAGGTGACTAATGATGGCCTGGAGCGCCCCATAGCGTACATAAGTCGGTCGTGTTCGGCGGCGGAAAAGAACTATACCATCACCAAATTGGAGTTGCTGGCGGTAGTTTGGGCGTGCCGCACTTTTCGACCATACATTCTGTTACGGCCATTTTTGTTGGGCACAGATCATGGTAGCCTGAGATGGCTAATGAATTTTAAAAATCCAACAGGACAGACTGCGCGATGGCTGAGCACGCTGGCTGAGTTTCATTTCACTGTACAGCATCGCCCCGAGTTGCAACATGGAAACGCCGACGGTTTGAGTCGCCAGTTCGAAGCGGAGCCGTCCGTAAATGCAGTTAGTTTTTCTACGCCAGATGTCTCCGAAATTCTTCAGGCACAACAGGCGGATGCGGATATCCATGTAGTTGTAGATCGGCTGGCGGCCGCTCAGCCCATTCAGGATGGGGACAGCCCCGTCGTGCGCGCCCTCATGTCACAGACTGAGAACCTAGCTCTGACCGAGGGAGTTCTCTACCGCGAAACACTGCCATCGCTAGCACGGCAATTAGTAGTTCCGGCAGTTTTACACACCAAATTTCTAAATGAGGCGCACGCCGGCCGCACTTCTGGCCATTTTGGCCAGGATCGTACATTAGCCCGTTTAAGATCGGTAGCATATTGGCCCGGGATGTCCGTGGATGTGGCCCTCTATTGCAAAAGCTGCACGACTTGCGAGCGCGGTAAAGATCCGCCCAGGGCTGTGAAAGCCCCGCTTGGTACTATTTACGTAGGTGCCCCATTTGAAGTTATGGCGATGGACATCATGGGACCCCTTCCCCTCACGGCTCGTGGTAATAAGTATGTGTTAGTGGTAGCAGACTCTTTTTCTAAGTGGGTAGAAATTATTCCCCTCCCGGATATGAAGGCCGAGACCGTAGCAGACCGTTTGGTTGACCGGGTATTTTTGAAGTTTGGAGTCCCCTGCCAATTACATTCGGACCAGGGCCCTAATTTTGAGAGCCGCCTAATCTCCTCTTGATGTAAATTGTTGGGGGTTTGTAAGTCCCGCACCACCCCCTACCGGCCACAGTCAGATGGTCTTGTCGAGAGGGCAAACCGCACGATTCAGGTGGCCCTCCGGGCCTATGTCGCGGACGACCAAACATCCTGGGACCGCCACCTTCCTCTGGTACAATTTGCTTACAATACGGGTGTCCACCGTGCTACGGGATTCACCCCTCATTTTGTGCTATTTGGGAGGGAGGCCCGTTTACCCCTTGATCTTTTTCTCCCTGCCCCGGGGGTCCCTCAAGTTACGCCTCTGCCCGCATATATCACAAATTTGCGGTCATCTTTGGCTAGGGCGTTTGGTGTAGTCCGGGATCGCCTGGGAGTGGCACATCGGGTGGCTAAATCTACTTATGATAGGCGGGTGAAATCCCCCAGTTTTCAACCAGGTGACTATGTCTGGCTCCATGCAGTTCCGCCCCCGGGTGCCAGCCCTAAGCTATTTCGCCCCTGGACTGGGCCATGGCAGGTAGAAGTAATTAAGGGCGTGGTGTGTTCCATTGTACGGGTGGGACCCCCTCCTTCGGCCCGCCATGCTAAGCATTTAACGGTACACACCGATCGGTTGCGGGCTGTCCACGGTAAGGTAGTGGTTCCCCCAGGGGTACAGCTGGGAGTGTCTCCGCCTGGAATTACGGCGATGCCATCTATGGGGGGTCCAGCCATGTTTTTGCCTGCCCCGTTTGGTGCACCCCACCCTGTGGCTCCGGCTCCCGTTCTGGTTCAGCCCCCGGGTTCGGTCCCCACCCCTCCTCCTTCACCCCCGGGTTCCCCTCCGGGTACGCCCCCGTCTCCTCCGGGTTCCCCTCCGGGTACGCCCCCGTCTCCTCCGGGTTCCCCTCCGTCCCCGCCCCGACCTGGTACACCCCGACCCAGACGTTCATGTGTGTTGTCGCCTGGGGGTTACGTCGCCTTAGAGGCAGGCCAGGGTCAGCTTCCGTGGAAGGGGTGGTGATTGCTTGAGGCTGCGTGCTCCAGTTGTTTCGGTTGTTTTTTGTCATTTTTTTTTTGCTCGTTCTAGTTATCGCGCCGCAGCGGCCCCGACGTCTGTCTATTTTGCCATGACGGGGTCGGAGTGCTCTCTACCGGTTGCTCCGTTGCCTCCCCCGCTCTGTCCACCGGCACCTCCAGCACTCCCGTTGCTTCGCCGTGTGCGCCGTCGGTCTCGCCGCTCGAGACAGCGCCGCAGAGTCCGCCGGGCAGCACAGCACACAGCACCATGCAAGTCACCTGATTCACTGTCAGCACTTTCCGCACCCTCTTCTCCTGCACCGCGGCCGGCTACGCCTCCTGTCCTGGAGGACTTATCCGATGTTGTTCCGTTGGTGGACATTTATTGCTATAACGATCTTGCGTAAGCTGCATTTTTTTCTCTTGCATGTGTAATTTTGTTTGTCTCGACTGTTGGGTGGGTGGCGTACTAGGTTGGTGCTGTTCAAATAATCAAGATCCAAAGGGACAACTACAGGTCGAACAGCTCGCCAGCCGGGGTCCTCTGCAAAATCTGTTGCTTGCAGGTTCCATTTGATTGTTGCACAGTTTTGCGGGGCTCCCGACTGGTGTTAACCCTCCTGGCCTACTCGTCATGCGTTCAACAGTCGTGACCCCACTTCTTTTGTGTTTTATTGTCGCCTATTTATGTTGTTTCACATTTCATTTCCCCGGTCTTTCTGTCTTCTTCTCCGGTCTGTCTTCTCCTGTTTTTTTTTATATATACACTTCCATCCACAGGAGTGGATGTCTTTTTTTGGTTGGGGATAGTGTTGTACATGTGGTCGCGCTTGTAGCTCTGTGTCGTACATGCGGCTGCGCGGGTGTCTCTTGTCGTACATGTGGCTGCGCTTGTGTCTCTTTTGTCGTACACGTGGCTGCGTATGTGTCTCTGTGTCGTACATGCTGCTGACCCGTGGTACACGCCGCTGCGCCGTCTTGGAATGCTTAGTACATGCCGCTGCACCGTCTTCTGTCCCCTCCGTATGCATTATTTATCATCTCGTCCCCGTTGCATACACATTTTCTCGTCTTGTCTCCGTTGTATTTGTCTGGTTGCCGTCTTGTGTCCGTCGTATTTCCCCGTCGTTCGTCTTTGTCTCCCGTCCTGTTCAGGCCTTGTTGTACTTTGCACAGGCACCTCTTTAGTATCCCTCACCCCACTTTTTCCCCTCTCTTCTCCACGTCCCCATAATATATTCTCTTGTCCGTTTTGTTGGAGCGCAGTTCTCCAGTCCCCTTACTGAAAGCCAGTTAGAGAAAACGCTCTCTCTCCCAGTGTGCACGAGTCTTTTGTTGTTGTGTGGAGTGGCGAGGAGAGCCGCAGTTCGTCGGATTAAACTGACGACAATTGCAAGGAAGTGAAGCACTTCCAGGAAATGAACAACGCGAGAACCTACCTGACCAGGTGCCAGGTTCCTGACCAGGTTCCGGCATTGGACCCACATGATGTGCAATGCCTAGGATGCACCTGCGTGATACAGCTTGTGTTGCTCAAACTACATGACAAGCACACACCGCGCAGGGTGGCCGGCAAGCTTCCCCCACCTCGCCAGCGCAGTTCATGTAGCGCCTACAAACCCATTGTTGATTTTTTGCTTCGTTTTTGTTTTGTTTCCCCTTCTTCCGTAGGTATGTGCAATGTGGTAAAAAATTAAAATTAAAAAAGCTTACCAAAGACAGCGTGGTGTCCATTGAAAAATCCTTGGAGCCGAACCAGCAGACACAGCGCTGATAGGACTTCACTGTAGGGAGAATCATGCACAACAATGACAACAACAGGTGCGTAGGAAGGTATTTTAGTGTGGTACGGTCAGCCATCTGAAGTACAAGTTACTCGTGGGGGAGGGGTGGCCGAGGCGAATATTTTGGAAATTTAGAGTCCAGGTGAGTGTATTCGATTGGTTCACGGGGTACCTGGGGCAAAATGTGGTACGGTCAATACCGTAGTGACCGTACCGTGTGCGACTCCCCTGAAAACCATGCATCTTTGCGTGGAGGATAGCACAACAAAGAAATGCTCTTACAAAAATATCAACTGCGACCATCACGCACACAACCCCACATGGCAGCTCTAGAACTTCTTGTTTCTAGTTAGTGACATTTGCAAAAGATGACTATTGAGGGGCCAAGAACAGAAAAGTATCATGTGCACTAACATATTGCTATGTATACGTCATACTTCATAATATGATGACTCCTCTTTTCTCTATCATACTGAGCATGCGTCATAACAACATGGTCTTTTGTCCGTCACTACTCTATGAACTGTTTGTGTGTTTGTGAGGTCCGACACAACAATGGCAACAAAGATGGGATGAATTTGTTTTGGTCGTTTTACTTTACTGTGTATTTAGCTACTTACCTGTAGCTGTGCTATTTCTGCATCATGGCAAAGGCCACGATAGAGCCGTTCGACGGCGGAGACTTTGAGGAATACCAGGAAAGACTAAATTTTTTTCATTGCCAATGAAATTGGACAAGTGGCGTCCAGTGCGTCAAACGCGGATAAGGTGAAAGCTGACAAGCGCATGACGGCTTGCCTTATTTCTCTACTGTCGAAGACTGTTTACTCGACGTTGAAGACCCTGTGCTTGCCAAGAAACCCGACGGATTTCAAGTACTCCGAGATCGTTGACAAGCTGAAAGTACATTACAAGGTGAAAACCTCACGGACGACGGCGACACACAAGTTCCGTCAATGTGTTCAAGGGCCCTCGGAGTGTGTTACTGATTATTCTCATAAACTCCAGCGCTGTGCTGTAGAGTGCAAGTTCGGCGATCATTTGGACAGAGCTCTTTGTGATCAGTTTGTGGCTGGGCTGCGCGATCTAGACACGCGCAAATTTATTTTGTCAAAGCCGGACGACGACGTAAAGTCATTTCAGAACGTATTTCAACTGGCGTTGACGGAGGAGACGGCAGGTCTGTTTGCTCGTACCCTACAGGCCAGTGGGAGCGCCAGGGACCAGAGTCCAAGATGACGGAGTGCACGAGTTGCGGACGAGGCACTCGTCGGACAAGCACAAATTTCAGTCAAAGTCCAAGTCCAAAACACCCACTACTAAGTCTAAGGCATGTTATCGTTGTGGTGCCGCCAGCCATTTAGCCACTGCGTGTCAGCACAAAGACACTCGCTGCCGACACTGCCACAAGACTGGCCATCTGGAGCGGGTGTGTCTGTCCAAGAAACGCCAGCAAGATTGTCATCAACTCCAGGAGACGATCAGTTCTGATGATGGTGAGAGCGTTCCTTTGTACCATGTATATACTGAATGTGTGAATGCTACTAGTACTACTAAATCGAATGCACCTCTGTACGTACCTGTGGAAATTAATGGTGTGACTGTAGAAATGGAGGTCGACACAGGCGTAACGATACTCACAGAGAAAGATTTTCAACAGTGCAATGGCGATTTGAATACATTGCAGAAATCTACAGTCATTCTCAGAGGATTTTCTGGTGCCGAAATTAAATGCATTGGGGAATTTCCAGTACCTGTCACGATTAACGGGAAAACTGAATCTGTTACTGTACGCGTTGTTGCAACTGAGGGTCCCTCCTTACTGGGTCGTGATTTACTTTAAAACGTGTTCACTCTTCCCTGGAAACAAATGTTGGCCGAGAAGGTCCATCGTACCCTGGGTACTGACCAATTTCAGACCAATTTCAGAAAGAGTTCCCTGCACTATTCGATCACTCGACATTGGGAAAAATGAATGGCGTTCAGATACACTTGCATGTGGATGATGGGAAGCCAAGGTTTTGCAAACCTCATTCGGTACCTTTTCATATTCGGGAACAGTATGAGGCTTCTCTTGACAAGCTCGAACGGGACGGTGTTATTCAGAAAGTTACGCACTCAGACTGGGCAGCTCCTACAGTACCTGTGAGAAAACCTGATGGCTCCATCCGGGTATGTGGTGATTACTCCGTTACCATCAACAAATGCTCCAAAA